TTTGTGGGCACGGGAAAGGCGGCAACAGCACGGGTTTTCTCCGGATCTGGGCGGATGCCGGCATGGCTCACAATGTGACCAAGGAACTTCAGTTCTTCATATCCAAAATGACATTTCTCGGGTTTGAGAGAAAGCCCCGCTGTTCTGATTGCCTGAAGTACTGCCTGAAGGCGTTGGACGTGTTGTTCAAACGTGTCTGCAAAGACCACGACGTCATCAAGGTAAACAAGACATGATTGCCATTTGAGCCCTGTGAGAACCGTATCCATCATTCTTTGGAAAGTAGCTGGCGCTGAGCATAGACCGAAAGGCAACACTTTAAACTCGTACAGGCCGTCGGGAGTAATAAACGCCGTCTTTTCGCGGTCGCGCTCATCCACTGCGATTTGCCAGTAGCCGCTACGTAAATCCATGGAAGAAAAATATTTAGCGTTGCGTATACGGTCCAACGAGTCATCTATCCGGGGTAGAGGATAAACGTCCTTTTTGGTGACCTTGCTCAGTTTACGGTAATCAACGCAAAAACGCAACGTACCGTCCTTCTTCCTTACTAGCACAACTGGCGAAGCCCAGGGACTGGTTGATGGCTGGATGACGTCGTCCTGAAGCATCTGCTGGACTTGGTCACGTATAGCGTCTTGCTCTTTTTGCAACACCCTATAGGCGTGTTGTCGGATGGGTCTCTCGATGGGTTCCATGATGATACGGTGCTGAGCAAGTGGTGCCTGTTTAACCCTTGACGTAGTGGCAAAGCAGTCTTGAAATGAGCCGAGTAAACGCAAAAGGCTTTCTCATTGAGACGAAGGTAGTCTCTCGTTTACTTCGAGAGTGCTCGTGAACGCCTCGTCAGGGTGGCCATTCGATGAAAATAAAGCTAACGTGGGCGAACCATTGCCATCGGCAAGTTCTTCACAATATGCAATGGCAGTGTGTCTCGTTAGGTGGCGATATTCGTTGCTGAAGTTCGTGACCAGCAGGTGAACATGCCTATTGCTAGGCTGAATGATTCCTCGGGCAACACAGATTTGTCGTGAAATAAGGAGAGACAAATTGGCCTCTGCAATTACCGCGTCAGACATGTCCTGTCCCAATTCCACTTCGACAAAGAGGCTGCTTCGAGGTGGGAGAGTCAGAGAATCGTCGGTAACACGAAGTGCTCTTTTCCGGAATTGTGTACTGTCAGTTGCAGCGCAAAAAGGATCCTCGAACGACACAAGTAATTCACGGAGGTCGATGACGGCGCCGTATTCACGAAGGAAGTCCATTCCTAGAATGACTGGCCGAGAGCACACGGGCAATACGAGGAAAGAGCCTGCAAATGTCGACGTACGTATACGAATGCGTGCCGTGCACATACCGGTAGGCATCACCAGATGGCCCCCTGCCGTGCGCAACTGCGGTCCTTGCCATGGTGTGGTAACCTTCCTCAGTTCAGATGCCAGTGCGGCGCTCATTACGGAATAGTCGGCCCCGGTGTCGACGAGGGCGTTGACAGCATGATTGTCGACGAAGACGGCGATTTCGGCAGAAACGATCTTTCTGCTGTCAGAGAACACTGCAGAACCGGAATGGTCCTTGTGTGGTCGTTGCGTCGAATGAGGGTCTTTTACAGTTCGCCGGGCCGCGACTTCACCCCCAGAAGTCGCCGTTCCTAGTTTCCCCTGCGGGGACTTGGTGACCGGCTCCTGAAAGGAGCGGAAGACGATGTGGGCAAACTGGGTGACGTAGACCGGCGAGGCGACGGTGATCTCGAATGGTGGTGCTGAACAGTCGAAGGTGTTCGCTGGCCCGTGAGATAGGCTTCGATTTCGCGGGGGCGCTCACCGTAGCGCGGGCATCGAGCTTCAGGATGGAAGCCGCGGAGACCTAGTTGCCGGTATTGACAGTTCCTGTATACGTGACCCGCTTCGCCGCAGTGATAGCAGAGCGGACGGTTATCCGAGGTGCGCCACGTGCTTGCCTTGCTACCACTTTGTCTTGAGGTAGACTGCAGATGGGTGGGTGTGCTCGGGAACCTTGAGCCGTGAGGCGGGCTCGAAGCAGTGGTGTGGAATGACTGCATAGCCTGGTACCTGGGCCGCATAGCAGGATCTGTAGCCGGTGGCGCAGGGGATCGCAATGCCGCTGCGTATGTCAGGACTGGCGCCTCGGGAATCGGTGGTGTGATTGGGGTCAGGGGTGTGACGGCCTGCCGGACTTCTTGTCTGATTACATCCGCGAGGGCAGACACAGGTTGATGGGATCCCACCGCCTGAAGCTGTCGCAGTTCGTCCCGAACAATACTTCGAATGAAGTCTGCGAGGGCCTGTCTATCGCTGTCAGAGCCGATAGAGCATGCGGTGGCCGGGATCTGGCGTTCGTATTGTGATGACCGCTGCAGCAGCGTACGTTCCATTGTGTTCGCCTCACTGATGAACTGGGCGACTGTCGTTGGTGCATTGCGCACGAGCCCAGCGAAAAGCTGTTCTTTTACTCCACGCATCAAATGCCTCACCTTCTTTTCCTCGGGCATGGCGGGGTCCGCGCGCTTGAAGAGCCGAAGCATGTCCTCGACAAACATGGATACTCGTTCGTTCGGCCGCTGGTTTCTGCAGGATATGGCTTGTTCGGCCCTCTCCTTCCTTTCGGTGTTCCAAAAGGCGTCACGGAGCTGACGGCTAAACTCTTGCCAGGTTGCAAAGGAGCCCTCGTGGTTCTCGTACCATGTCTTCGCAGAATCCTCCAAGTAAAAGTAAACTCTGCACAGCTTGCGAACATCGTCCCATTCGTTGATACAGGCAGCCCGATCAAAGTGGTCGAGCCAGTCATCAACATCCTCGAAGATATCTCCATGGAACGGCTTTGGTGTCTGTGGCGCATGAAAAACATGGGCGAGAAGAGAACCATGGGCATCGCTGGTTTGGACCGCCTGGCTTGTCATCGGAGTTGCCATCTTTCTGGGTGTCGATGTCAAGGGACCAAATTCAGGGGGTAACCCACGCAGGCGGTGGCTGCTTCTTGCTCTGGGAGATGTAGCTGTCTCCACGATGGCCGACACAGCCGAAGTACACGTACCCAGCACTTCCACCAGTAATGTCGCGAGCAAAAACAAGATCTGCAGCCAGGAGTTCACCCGAACCGGAGCAACCAAAACGTTCTCTTCTTCTTCGTAGCCCAAAACGGGTATGAGCCACAGCGGCTGTTCATCAATGGTGGCAATATCATAGTTGAAATAAAGAAGAGGAAATGGACATGGGCCGGGCATGTAGCGCGTAGACAGGATAACCGCTGGTCATTAAGGGTAACTAACTGGATTCCCAGAGAAGGAAAGCGGGTTAGGGGGAGACAGAAGGTTAGGTGGGCAGATGAGATTAAGAAGTTTGCGGGCATAAATTGGCAGCAGCAAGCACAGGACCGGGTTAACTGGCGGAACATGGGAGAGGCCTTTGTCCTGCAGTGGACGTAGTCAGGCTGGTGATGATGATGATGATGAATTGCCCTTGACGTCAGAACCCACTGCGGACAGCGCGTTTTGCCGTTGAGCCAACTTCCACAAGAAAAGCTGGGTTGGCACCAAGCATATGATGGATTACTAGAAACTCACACACGATGGCTGATAATTCAGTCGTAATAATTTTAGGCATGTGTTTGCGACTTTGGTGGCCCCGACAACAAGCTGCGCATCTCTTGATCTGTTCGCGTGGCTATTACCGGTGACGGATGCCCCATAATTTAAGACTTTGGTGCAGTTTGGCACAATTTCTGTAGATATTATCAGGATAGGGCCGTGAATATAATTTGTCGCCTTTTGACGCAGTTGGCACAGGAATGGAATCACTGTAAAATAGCATCTTGGCCTTTCTTGTGTAAAGTGTTGTCTGCAACACATTCAATGCACTAAATCATGTATATAACTACAATTTAACTATTGCATTACCTCATTCTTGATAATACAACTATGAAACACCACCCCATCAGTGCTTCATCAACCTAGGCAAAAGAAACACTTCCCTACTGCTCATAAGACTATGATTTGGAATTCTGTCCAACTTCTCTTTCTGCAATTTTACTTCAAGATATTCAGAAAATATTCTAGAAATTTTCTAGAAATATTTGATCTGATCCACACTCAAGCTTCAATATTTGAATTTGCACAAAAAATTTTGTAATTCACGCAGCTCTAGCCTTGCACTGCTCAGTGCTAACTCCAACAATTTTCCTCTTATATGCTTTTCCCCCCAAACCCTTTTGCATTGCCGCAAAACTGACTTTTGGACTCTACTATGGCTGCATGCGGGCCAACCTGCGAGAGACTGGTTCAACACCATGTGGTGGATGAGACAGAGGTGGACACTTAAGTTAATGTCATTTCAGTGGAGAAATTTGTGAAAAAAATACAAAAAGTAGGACACTAAAGATTTTCAGCGTCGACAATTTGCAATATTCTTATACAATGACATCTATGGGCTATGTGACGGTGCCAAGAAAAAGTTTGAATTTTCATGCACATTCAAAGAGGATGCAGTTTACTGTATATACCAGTTTTACAGTATGTGCAGTACACAGATTCAAATGAGACTTCATATTCTTTTATATAACAACTGGTGTGTGGAATTGTTCGAGATGACCACACCTTGTTGCGACGAATCTGGTCTTTGAAGATAATGTTCGCTCTGATCTTCGCACTAAAACAAAAATTTTGCTAATATGATTTAAACTGAAGATAGCGAAAATGAAAGTATGCAAGTTACTTAGCTTTAAATTATTCTGTTTTAATCCACGAGCACTGTATGTACCCAGCTGTCAATGTGACAGCGTAGGCTTCCCTGTGCAGGTGGTCCCGAAAAATCATGCCAGCTGGATGAAAAGTTTGCCAAAAGAGAGGATCCACAACAATGCCCCAGCACACTATGCATTCACAGTCAATGACTACACTGCTGATAGCATTCAGGCAGCCAGTCTAAGAGCTTTCCCTAGTCTAGTAGTGCTGTCCAAGTAGATTCAAGAGAGGGTGTGCTCACGTCTTGCCCGAGGTCCTCGCGGAGCACTCGAAAGATGCTGGGGAGTGGAGAGGCCGGTGCTTTGCTGTGCAGCACCCTCAGGGTTCGGACATACTCTTCGGGCAGGAGGTAGTCCAAGGCGCCCACATGCTGACCCACTTTGACAAAAACACCACCATTGATGCAGCACAGTTGAAGCAGCCGCTCTGCCGATCGCTGGTGCACCTGTAACCCCAAGTGTCAGCTGTGGCACGCTTATGCTTAGCGATCAAACCTTCATCAACGCTTTGATGCAAGCTGAACTATCTGTACGCACCATGTGACACAAGGGCAAGCAAATTTAACAATAAATAAACTTGGAATCCAATGTAAACAATCGCTGTTGCATGCCTTGCTGAGGACACAGTTGGCAAAGCACACTATTTTTCAACTCCATGGCTAAAGAATAGATGAAAAAGATGGAAAAGAAACCCCACGAAAGACTTTACAATTAGTAATAAAAAAGAAAGGGATTGCATGCTGCTATAAAAGCATTTCAAAATACATTGAACATTGAAGCATAAAAGCAAGTTTTAGCAAAATGCCAATATTACGTTTTTGAGAAAACTTACTACACTTCCTCAGACTTACATTCAAAAATAGTGTAAACCTTCTAAAGTTGAAGCACATTCTGATGCCAATAATCTGAATGTTAAATATTAAAACAATATGTGAAACATACATTGGTACCAACAATATTTCATCAGACGCTGCCTCTACCAAATCGAATAGGTTTGCCATTTTAAAATGGTAAAACATGCAATAAACATGCCAACTCAAGTGGTAATCCTGTCAATAACTAGGGAAAAAATCCCCCTCAGAGCTGCCTAAAACTTTATAGTGATTACACACAAAAATTACTATAAATTCTGTAGCAAAAATTGTCTGACAAGCATCACTATTCAGAAGAAAAAAATTGCAAAGAAACGCTGTTAGTCAAGGCATATAAAGGTACTACTCAATGCATATGCATTGTAAAACAAGTGCGTGTAAGCTGCATTTTAGAGAGGTTACGATTTTAGTCTGAAGCAAGTCTCAGACTGCACTTGAATTCATGAAAGTTGTGAAAGTGCTGACACCCCCCCCCCCCTGTAAAGTTGTCTGCGCCGCGTGGCGCACGTGTCTCGCCCCAAGGCATTATTTCGGTGGTGACCACCGCCGGGCGATAGATGGCGTTGTGTTCGCTTTGAGTACCACTGTTGGTAGAGTGGTAGCGCCGGCGGTGGCCCCTGGCGGAAGGCAGGCCTTGGTGGTGGGCGAGCGTTGAGCGAGTCTCTTCTGCGCGTGGCGGCTGCCGCGAACGGTTGTCTGTAGTGTGGGTCCCCGATGCTCGGCACCGCGGGCTTCGCGCCGGGGTCCCACGTGGAAAGTCAGGCGTTGGCGACGCCGCCTTGGGTATGTGTTAGTGTGTTGGGTGCGTTAGTGTGTGTTTATCATGCTATTGTGTGTTTAGTGTGTCACTGCGTTATGTTGTTTGTATGGTAGCGTGTTAATTAAAATTGATGTAACATTCGGCGGACGATGTCGTCGTCTAAATTAGTTAATAAATGTATGTGTTTGTGTGCTTTGTACTGACCGTGTCCACTGTGTCCAATCACTCCAAGAGCGTGGCGTGGCGATGCGCGCGTTCGCCTCACCGAGACCCCACCCTGGCGCCCAACGTGGGGCTCTTGGAGTATCGGACGACAGTTTTTGCGGTTCGGTGCAAACTTTTGATAGAGCCGGAGTGGAGTAGGCCTAGGGGGAACTTCTCATTGCTAGCGTCGGCGGTGTGCTTTGTTGAGAGCGAGGAGATCGGTTTGTAACGTGTTTAAAGTTGTCGGCAGGTTGAGTTTTTATTATTTTTTTTGCTCGCAAGTGTTGTTCTTCTTTGTTGGTGTTAGTTTTCAAAAACGTTGAATTAGGACGAGAGCCATGCGGTCCGCATCCTGGGGTGAGCAAGGCCTAGAGCACGTGGTTTGTAGGCCAGGCCAAAAGCGAGTGAGTACGGAAGCCTCGTGGGTGGTTCGATTTTCTGTAAATAGCTTCTTCTATTATCTTTAGGCTCAGGGAGCCGGGCGTCGTTGCTGTCTGGTATTGCGGCTCGACGCCGAGGCGTCGTGACACCGCCCGGGGCGGTGGACGCCGATCGCTCGGTAAGCTGCTGTGTGCGGCGAGCGATAGGGCCACCTCACAGAGTGGACGTCTCCTCGCGGCTGCCTCTTCTGCGCCTAGGCTGGGTGGATGCTGGTTGTTGCCGAGCGACTCATTAGGCCTAAAGCTCTGCGCAGCCGCCTGTCGCACGTGGCACAACTAGGTGGATCGTGGCGTTGAGGTGTTACGCTCTGCTTCCTTCACCTTTTTTTTTTCTTGTGAGCACAAGTTAGGAAAAGTGATTTTTGTTTTATTTTGATGGGCGTCTCGGCCGCCACCGATGTATTAGCTAGCAGTACTGACCAATGTACCACGTGGACGAAAAGCTCGAAGCTCCGTTCCCGAGGACCTGCTCGATTGTTTTCTTTCAAGTTTTTTTGTTGTTGTTATTGATGTATTCGGCGGGAGGGATGTCATCCACGGCCGGCTGTTCTGCACATCGTCAGCGTCGCTAGCCAGGAATGCGGTCGTGAGGTCGGGCAGGCCTGGGGCCTGCGCAACTGCCTGCAGCCCGGCGCCCTCGCGAGTGCTGGTCGCAACTGGAAGACGTGTCGGCGCTAGCGACTGATCGTCGCGCCGACGGCAACGTTGCTGTTGCGGGGCCGGTACTGAGGTGAAGTCTAGCCGGACAGTGCAGCAGTGTCGACCTGCGGCGGTGTCGTGGTGCAAGGACATTATGGTCATGCGATATCATTTTTTTGTTAAAGCTTGTGTAGCTAATTTTTGATTTCGGGATATGGTTTGATTTAAGGTTGGGAGAATGTGGGGGTGCTGACACCACCCCTGTAAAGTTGTCTGCGCCGCGTGGCGCACGTGTCTCGCCCCAAGGCTTTATTTCGGTGGTGACCACCGCCAGGCGATAGATGGCGTTGTGTTCGCTTTGAGTACCACTGTTGGTAGAGTGGTAGCGCCGGCGGTGGCCCCTGGCGGAAGGCAGGCCTTGGTGGTGGGCGAGCGTTGAGCGAGCCTTTTCTGCACGTGGCGGCTGCCGCGAACGGTTGTCTGTAGCGTGGGTCCCCAGTGCTCGGCACCGCGGGCTTCGCGCCGGGGTCCCACGTGGAAAGTCAGGCGTTGGCGACGCCGGCTTGGGTATGTGTTAGTGTGTTGGGTGTGTTAGTGTGTGTTTATCATGCTATTGTGTGTTTAGTGTGTCACTGCGTTATGTTGTTTGTATGGTAGCGTGTTAATTAAAATTGATGTAACATTCGGCGGACGATGTCGTCTAAATTAGTTAATAAATGTATGTGTTTTGTGTACTTTGTACCGACCGCGACTGCTGTGTCCGTTCACTCCAAGAGCGTGGCGTGGCGATGTGCTCGTTCGCCTCGCCGAGACCCCACAAAGTGTACCACATAAAAAAAAAGAACAAGTCATATCAGTGATATGTCTGTTGCATTGTACATATCTGAAACATTGTACGTATCTGAAAAGAAATTGTTTGATTGCTGAATGGCATAGGTTGTAATGAGACCATGCATATATGTAGTCTGTTTTTTTCTGTGTTAATGCCCACAAAAATTCAGTTGTGCCGCCGGTCCTATCTTGATGTTCCTCCCAGTTGTGTGTATTTTAAGTAGTGGCTAAATTACATATTTATTACTTCCATTATTGCACAAAAATGGTTGTTTTTCATATGTCTCAGGAAGATCGTTTTTGCCAATTCGAAAAGTACTCCGAAAGGCATTGCAGCATACAAAATTTTGCCCAATAAAATGCTCTTTCTAAAAAATATATGTTGTAGAGCAACAAAAATATTTTTGAACGTATAAAAATGTGAAAAGTGTGTAATTTCTGGCAGCCAGCTGGTAAATAGTGAAATAAAAACACTATATATGCAAAAATATTCAAAACAAGGAAAATTCAGAATATTTATTTTGAATATAAATGACCCAGAAGCAGCATAAAAATAACAAATGTTGTGCGAAATATTTTCGTTCACATAGACAAAAAAAAAAATCAGAACCAAGATGCTGCTTCATTGCTCGTGCCATGCGGTAAAGCATTGCTTGGTTTTTTGTAAAACACATGTGAACTCCTACACGTTTCTCAGCAAACGTTTGGTTTTTTGCGACAATAGCTTCCAGGTGTTCCAATACAGATGGATGCCCATGATGTGAATAATCCCTCTATAAATCAGATGCCCAACGAGCATCGCTATTCTATCTAGCGTCATCTCTTTCCATGAGCCACCTCTCTCCCCATGGGTTGGCGTTGCTATATATGCACCCAAGCATATTTCATAGCAATTTGCACATCGTATTAAGAAAAACAACAATATCGCACACAGTTCTAAAATGTTTTACGCTGCCTTTGTAGTAGGGGCCAAGATGTGCTCCGGTGGCTTTCTTTTCGTTAGGAGAAGCTCTACAGCCGGCGCCAGTCACCGTGCCCCAGCAACGAGTGGACCTCGCACGTAACCAGAGTAGCTATAAGATTCTGCACAAAGGTCGGCAGCTACACACTTGTGGCGGACGAGACAACTTGAGCCCGTGAACAAAACAAACCCATGAACAGCTGCGCATGTCACAGGCTGATGCAAACATTGTCGACATAAAACTTGAAGCTGAGATGCTGTCATCCTCGAACTCTACACTCGTCCTCACTCAATTCAGGTGGGGTTGCAAGTCAGTTTCGAGCAACAGTAAGAGTTTTGCAACGCAGGTGCGCACCCATGTGCGCGAGGATGATGAAGCCATAGGAGCGGCTAGTGACACTAAATGCGACCCTTTGTCTCATATAACAATACAAGCAACATCAAGCTGCTGGGAACTGGCCTGAGAAGACCACCTCGGCATTTTGAACATACGGCGGACCTTCGGAAACATTTTTCGTAGAATTCATTTTCCCTGACCCCTAGTAAAAGCTCTTTATGAATATCTGGTATAAATTATTGGCAATTATTACTGCTCAACCCAGTCATATTGCATAGCTGACACTTCAATTTGATATTTGGGGGCATTGCACTTTTGTCAAGTTCTCTAGCCTAGTCCATTTTTTAACGACACAGGCACACTGGTTCGCACACAAGGTTTGTCAAAAACCACTACGTTGCTAAAACAGGCAAATTCGAATTGATTTCGAAAGCTGAGTGACTGGACTAACCACCAGAGAATTCTGGGTGCACGAGAAACAAATTCAATGAGCCAAAATTTACAATTCAAAGCATCGATCACAGGTCATCGATTTGAATAGGCATGGTAACGAAAGAGTTAAGCAAAAATGGTTTGTTGAAGAAAACTGAATAATAAGGGCAACAAAAATCTCTGTGTTGCAAGTGATTTGCTCGGTTTTTTTTTAAGTAAATGAATAAAATTGGACACTTCACAGACACGTTGAAGTGATGTTCTCAAGGCACTCATTAAAGTCATTTCAGTGCACAGCGAGTGGTAATCAGGGCACTTGCAAAATCCAACTTGGTGCTCATGCCACATGTTATAGCGAAGTAAAAACTTTAAATAGATAGCTTTCTTTCATACTTAAACTTTATCACCAGTAAGAGTGGCGCCAATTTTGTCCACTTTTTTTTATTACTGTTACATAATTCCAAGCATGAGTCTGTTCGGCTTGTTGCAAGCTGGATACAATGCGCGATAAGATTGGTACGGCCACTATGTTGGTTGCCTACATGCTTGTCCACATGTCCATGATGTAATGCCTGTGCACTGGCTGTACAAAGCCAACAGCTGTCTGTATCGTTGTCTTGTGTCTCATGTTTTGTTCTTTGCGCTGAGACGTCACTGATGCATCAAATAAAGCACTAAACCCCTGCTATCAAGTTCACCTGGTTTCCATCATTTTTTGTGAAGCTGAAACAATTGCAGTTGTTTGAAATGCGTTGAAAAATTGATACACATTTGTACCACTGTCCTAAAAGTGGTTAAAGATTTTCCCTTTCACCTGAACCGTTCAGTCTCTGACAAACAGTTGCCTTCACTGAAAAAATGCTCGGCATTTGGGACCCCTGTTCAAAGATTGGGAAGACTGACAAGACCAGAAGACATCTAATGAGAGAGAGAGAGAGTGCACTCAGCAGCAGAGGCAGAGACAGAGAGCTTTGAAATAACGAAAAATTATAGATTCTCGGCTCCCCAACCCAATGCTAGATAATTCAAACAAACGTCTTGAATCATAGCATCACCACGAAGTTATTGAAATGCAAACCATTTTACAACAGAATGCTGTCAAGCGGCAGCACTTGCCTCGTGGTAGTGTAGTGGGGCTATGACGTCGACCACTATGACAATCCAAAAGACACAAGAAGATGAGACAGCACGACACAATGACTTTAGTGAAAAAAAAAATCTAGCAAAGAGAATAGACGACAGCAGCAGCACAAATATAAACACCGAAACAGGGACCGTGCAAAAGTAAGAATAACCGTAAAAACCATGGGCATAAGAAAGAATGTCACTATCTGCAGTCACTCATGCTGAATGAAATGATTAGTCAGACTCTATAGCAGAAATATTATCACAGCTTTGCTAGTAATTTATTCCCATATAAATACAGCAGCTCTAAAAATTTTTTTGGTAAATATTAGTTTTGAGAACATATGGTATGTAGCATAACATAATATATTTGTGACTAAGCTATGAATATCTTTATTTTATAACTTGCTGTATCTGCCGTAAAGGCTGCAATGCAAACAGTAAATGTATTGAGAGGCACATGCCACACTTCATCATGTCCTGAAGCGCAGCACATAAAACGGTATAATTACACAGAAGATGACAATGTGACAGCTATAAAGACAGGTTGGCACGCGACTTATTCAATAAGGGCGGTCAGGAAATGACGTGACAACCTCCACACCACAATGCATGAATGGCCACGCTCTATTCGACATGGTGCAGAAATAAAACACACAAAGCATGTTCTCGAGAAGCGCGTGTTCACTAAATGGGTGTGGCACAGCATGACAGTCATCACCTGTAGGCCAAAGAATGTTCACCGCAAGATCGTACATGTACCTGTGGCGATATCGCCTAGAAGTTGTAGCAACATTGTTACAGGCCTACAGGCGCCTTACTACGATGACAGAGCACCATGGAAAAGAGAGCTTGAGAGGAGAGGGAGCCTGAAGGCTATCACTTCGGACCAATCAGGACATGTTTTTATGACGGGTGCCATTCAGTTGATTCAATGCCAGGAGGAAGAAGCATGGTTCGTGCAAAAGAGTGGACTCAGCCTACAAGCAGTGCCCGCTTTGGTGCCACTGTTCGGTAGATCAAAACCGTTGAACTAGCTCAGGACTGGCACAACGCATGAACAGGGGGATTAGATGAAAAGGGGAAGCACCTCGATTCCCCAAATGCTCCCTCGAGTGATGTTTATTGTATTACTATAACCTCACACCTCTTTACAACATGCTTATATTAATTGGTGAATCTGTACAGTTCAGAAAAAGTACAAAATGTCCTGCCACCTGGACAATCTTGATCATCATGATCAGCCTGACTACACCCACTAGAGGACAAAGGCCTCTCCCATGTTCCACCAGTCAAATTGGTCCTGTGCTTGCTGCTACGACTTTATATTCGCAAACTTCCTAACTTCATCTGTCGACCTAACTTTTTGTCTCCCCCTCACCAACTTGCCTTCTTTTGGAATCCAGTCTGTGATTCTAAATGACCAGCAGTTATCTTACCTTCGCGATAGGTGCCCAGCCCATGGCCATTTCTTCTTTTTTGAGTTAGGCTTTGATGTCCTAAGCACACTGTTTGTTCTTTAGCACACTCTGCCCTCTTTTTGTCCCTAAGGAATACACCTATCATTTTTCTTTCCGTTGCTCGTTGCATCGTCCTCAAGTCAGGTAAACCGTCTTTGTAATCCTCCAGGTTTCTGCTCCGTGCAGCATTGCATTGCTGAGTAACTCAGGGGACGAATTGTGATTCGTGATTACTGAATCACACAAGGAGAGCAGAAAGGTAGGTCTTAAAATTAATCTGCAGAAAACTAAAGTAATGCATAACAACCTTGAAAGAGAACAGCACTTCGAGATTGGTAGCAATTGTAAAGGAGTACATCTACTTAGGACAGGTAGTAACCACGGGAGCCGAACCCTGGGATAGAATTAACTAGAAGAATAAAATGGGGTGGAGCATATTCGGCAAGCATTCTCCAATCATGAGTGGTAGATTACCATTATACCTCAAGAGGAAGGCATATATACCTGCTGCATCTTACCGGTACTTACCTTGACAATACTTGTGAGTAAAATTTGAAATGACTTATGAAGAGACAGATTTATGTATACTCTTGAAGAGTTCATGACTGAAGTGCTCACCTCTGAGCGTGCTTTGGTATACTCCTCAGAGTCCTGGTCCATTCCCCTGGTGGCCAACTTGTAGTCACATGCTATCCTGGACACCTACAAACATAACAAGCAGGAAAGAATGCCTATGTGGACAACATGAAGAACCATGCTCGAACAGTAGGGCATCTGTCAAGAAAGAACACATGAATGTGAAATGCAACACACTGGTGCAGATACAGAAGCCACAAACAGCTAAACAGGCATTATATTACCACAAAACAAGGGTGTGCAAATATTTAAAACTAGAACAGAGTCAAATGTGAATAAAATACTGAATTTTGTGCACACATAGAAGCATCGATTACTGATGGAAACGCCACTGTTACTATCAGCACTTTTGAAAACATACAGCATTCATTTGCTTGGTTTAAAAGGTGGAACAAAGTACATGGGTTTGGGAACAGCCCTTGGAGCATGCAAAAGTGCCTTTTGTAGCATGCTTAGAGCAGCCAGAGAGGCATTTCAAGCAATCTTGAAGCACCCAGAAAGAGAACCTTCAGATCAGATGTACCCTCAGATCAAATCACAGCGCTTCTGAGGTTGCACTTATCCAATGCCGCATTTTTCAGACACAAGGCTAAATTAAGAATAGCCTTATGATTGTGATAGCAATTTATATGGACACTATCAATGGGTTTTTCCTATTATCGTCATGTTCTGTGTAAAGTCCAAATTATTAACTTATCACCGTATATTGTGCGTCTTATCTGTGGGTAAAAGTGCACGAGCGGGGGGGGTGACAAATGTGGCTGAAACAGGGATCAAACGAATATGCCCATCTCTGTCACTGAGAGAGTGCATCCATGCGCTCGGGTGCATGCACTCTCATGCACTCAGCAGAGAGGAAGCGCCACACCGACCTTGAACGAGCAAACAAGCGTGAAAAGACGCAGGGGAGGGGGGTAAAGGGGAGAGCGTTGCTCGAACAGCAACTGTGAATTGTGTTCCCAAGAGTGTGGCAACAATCACTAGACCATGAGCTAGCTCATTAGCCATCAGCTGGCAGTTCTCATACACTTCAACGTGCTGCGTTTTCATTATGAAGAACAGGTTGTGCGAAAAATATTCTCCCCTTGCCGTGCTCCTATTCTATTACACCAGCTTTTTTTAAAGTTACGGGAGATCAGATACGAAAAATTGAGGAGCTTTAGCTTCGCCTTAAAGAGTTGAATGCGATAGCGATATCCTATACCTAGTGCATACTTGAAAACTATGCACCCACTACATGGCCTTAAGAGAAAAGGTGCAGTAACATCTGTGCTTTGCACGTTTTGATGCCCGATGGCGATGCACGCTTGCACCGCATGTTATTACTGCAATATCTCATGTCGTATTGTGAAGCGTGTATACAGGATGAATGTGTTTGTAAAGCATGAAAGTTACTTTCACTGTATTCACAAGCAGAGGCGTGGCTGTGTGGTACAAAAAGAGCACCGCTTGTCCTGCAAATGACCCGGGTTCGACCCCCACTCGCACCCAGACTTTTTTTACCATTTATTTTATTTGTATCTTTATAAATTTTTCAGTCCTTTACAACCTGTGCGCTGGGGGCTGTTGCTTACCTATCACGGCAGTTTGACGGGGGCACCCCTAGCCAACTCACCTCAAGGAGCCTTCAAGTGCGTGCCGTCTCTTGAAGTAGCACGCACATGAGGCTCCCTAACTCGCTTGCCGGCAGCTGCGGAGGCTAGTGCGCGCAAGGAATGCTTTGCTTCTAACTTGCCATGGCCCCTTCTGAAGCCACTTCATAGGACCAATGCGATGGAAACATGCTGAGAAGCATAGAGGTTAAATTTTGTGATTTTCACTTTTTAGAAAGGGAGGCGCAAGCTGCTGATCTGCCCATTTCTGTTGTTAGAAAAAACATCCCCGTGGTCATAACAAAACATTTTTTTTTTTCTGCAGCCCCGAAAAATCAGTAGGAGAGTAAATATTGCATTTCACGCGCATGAGCGATTGTGCCTCACTCAGATGGCTCGGCTTTATGATTACCAATCGGCAGAAAAAATTACGCATAACTTATGTTTGGTAGAAAAATGATTTTTAGGAAACATTTGTTTCAAATACACAAACATGTCATCCCGGCACCTGAAAATAATATATATTTTGTGCTTTTTTGTTGAAGGAATAATATTTTGTGCTTTCAGGATGAAATAAATATTAGAAACTTTAAAGTAATTGCATCATGAGGATGCCTACAGTTTTTTGCACAAAGCTCTAAGTCAGAATCACAGCAGCAGGACTAATATTAATAATCATAAACTATTAAAAATAAAAAGAACTTCAGCTAAAGATAACATGAAATAGCAGGTACTGATAAAACCTGAATACAGGCACTATAGTATATAAAAAAAAGAAGAAAAAGAAGATTGCGCAAGGTAAGCACATGAGAAGAACATTAAGACGAAATAATGCACGTGGTACACAAAGAGGGAAAATAAACCAATGATGCACCTGTTTCTGTTGCTCAAGGAAGCATACACAACTGCTATAACAAAATAAACAATTGTATCGGGCCAGCTGGTATGAATCCATCTTGGAAGGAAGCGCAGCAACTATTACACAGAACGAATGCTTGTGTTGTGTGTTCTGTGTAATAGTTGCTGCGCTTCCTTCCAAGATGGCTATAACAAAGCCTTCTTTTTTTTTTTTCATTTTTTTTGTTGCTCCAAAAAATGAAATGAATACCTGGAGCTATAGCTTTTATGAATGATGCACTGCAGAAAATGTTTAAAAATGTTCACCCACTACTCACCCAATCCCTTGCATTAACTATGAATCCCAAAGAGAAAAACAATAACATGAGCCCCCGAACGAGTGAGTGGCTCACCATAAAATTGACATTACCCGTCTAACTGTAGAAACTGCGCAAAGGAATGCACTTGTTTATATATGCACCAGCATGTCGCCCGTACCATTTATTATCAACCAAAGAGTTATGATTTACTGTAGTAAGATGCTGGCTATCTGTTATGGTGTGGTCGTGGTGCCACTTAATAGTGCGAATTCCTAGCACATGTTTCTTCATGCCACCATGTCACCTGTATTCACTGTTGTACTCATGGCATAACATGGTGATTATATTAATTGCTTGAGTTTAAAGCTCCAAACCGAAAACTATGGTTAGATGAACTTGGTAGTGGACGCTTCTAAAATTTCAACCACCAGGCGTTCATAAAGTGCACTGGCTGAGCACACAGGCCTCAAGCATTTTCAAATTCATCGAATGAGGTGTTAGAGCCTCAAAAAATTAAATTTCTGATAGCCTTGCATGTGTGTCTTCACTGCCAAGTGCATGAGTGCCAAGAAGGCCAGACTGTCCCCACAAGGACATCTACTACTCTAAGCGCTTTCAACAAGCAGAAGTAATTAGCACGAGAAAATGACAAGGAACAGCTGCCACTGAATATGAAGTGTATCTGGCGAGTTGCCCTTTGAAGGGTTTGCTCGCGATGCCCTCATGCGAAGCATGCTGTTATGAATGCTATGCGAGCCACCTACAGTAACGTGCAGAATGCGATACCAACTTGTGCAGTGCTCTTCCTTCTTTTCTGCTTGAAGCCTACCATGCAGCTGTGTGTGTTAATGCGTGCTGCAGTGTCGTCCTATCGTAGTGCAGTTTCGCGGACGACCTTGTTCTGTGGCTGACCACATTTCCAAGAGTCGACAGCAACGTGCCCTTCAGACTTCCGCAGGATATCCCTTTGGACAGTGGCGGCTGACCCTTGTCCATCGGGACTATGTTACCACGGCAGAGAAGCTGTTACGAAGGCTATGCAAGTCACCTACAGCAACGTGCAGAATGCGCTACGAATTGTGCAGTGTCCTCCCTTCCCTGCTGGCTTCTTTCAAAAAGACACTTTACGCATTCTTCACAGACACTGATGGCGCTTGTCAGAGACGCTGGATGCGTCTCTCAGAAAGACTGCTGTGCGTTCCAACAGCGGAGCTGCACCCTCCTTCTTGAAAGTCTCTGTGCTTAAAAAAACTGGCGCATCTGCTGTCGGCTGCTTCCACATCCACGTTTTGTACATACATTGTAAATTGAACATTTTCCCCTTCTGGCTGCCTTTTGCCTTGCCTGGGTGCAACCCTACCCAGTCTATTGGCTCTCACTTCACGCTACCCAAGAGACAGACCGTGGGGCCTTGTAAAAGCAACATCGTCACTGTATAGGAACAGCTCAATTGTCCTTGTGGCAGCTGCTCAGGCCATAAAAGGAGGGAGCGAAGTGGCTCAATCGGCTGCATAAATCCAGCTGGCTAAGCCAGCAGTGTCTTCTGTTGCTGACAGCCTCGACAATGTCTTCAGGTAGTGGGCGACCGTCGGCAGTAAGGCGTGGCCAATATCACTTTTCTTGTATTTTTGCAAGCGTGCGGGAAACACCCAGGTGGCCAACTCTTGGGTTGCCGTCGAAGGCGTGTACGACTTCTGGTCCCAATGCTGAAGGCAACACAAGAAGGTACTTGGTTCGAAGCAGTGAAAAGCTTTTTTAAATGCTGTTGCGTGAGAATGTACTTGCATGAATACCTTCAGAACAACAGTGGTATTGCGTTTGAAGTATTCCATTAGGCCAGTGAGCTCAGCGAAGTCGTTCAGCGTAGTTGTTGGGACCCATAGGTCTTAGGAAGCTGCCATTATCCTCTTCGGTCAACAAAGTGAAAAACTGCGCGAAACACAAAACAGTGGCAAAGATGGATGAAGCGCTAACTTACAACCAAGGTTTTATTCCATACAGGAGGGTATATATAGCACAAGCAACAAGAAAGGAGGGAGAGGAGAACAGCGACGTGGAACTTCTCCGGCTTGCGGAAGCTGGTGTATGGGGCCGGGAGAGGCAGTCAGCATCAGAGTGTTTTCTGCCGGACTTGTAAACGACACTATAGTTGAATTCATGAAGTTTCAAGCTCCATCATGCGAAATCACCTGAAGGGTCTTTCAAGTTAGCTAGCACACAAAAGGTGTGGTGGTCGCTCACAACTTCGAAAAGCCTGCTGCAAAAGTAGGTCAGACACTCTGGCATGGCCCAGATAATCGCAAGGCACTCAGTTTCT